CCAAGGGAATAGACTCACTATGCAGTAATTTAACCTGCTTTTTCCTTGTAGCTTGCCAACACTTTGAAGATCAGGGGGCTAGCTTAATCAGAACTGGATTGCTGCTGTGCTGAGCTTAAATGTGGGGGAGAAGAAGGCTAATTAGAGCAAGCAGGTTGTGCTTCAGTGAAATTTATTTTCATTGATATTCACGTTTAAACTTTCAATTTCATCTGTAAAATAGTTGACTTTTCAACATTGATATTCATGTTTAAACTTTTCATTTTCATCTTAAAAATAGTTGACTTTTAAGATTTATACACTTTTAATTAATCAAAATTATTTTTTACCCCAAATGAAATCTTATACGGAACTCAAATGTAAAAAAATAAATATGAAAGTTGAGCAGCTTTGGTGAGAGTGTGTGTGTGAGTGTCTGGAATACATTTTGTTGATCTCCTCTTTCCCACTCTCAGAAATTTCTGGAGCATCTTTTCACATAGTAAGAAATAATCATTCCTTTACAAGGAATTTGAAAAACACGGTTCTGTCTTTAATTTCTAATTTAGTTTTATTGTGATGGGAGTGTTTTAGGATCACAATCATTTCTATGACTATTTTTAAAGAAAAATATTTCCATGTTTTAGTTAATGATTTATAGGAATATTGAATACCCGAATATATAAATGCAAAAACAAGAGTTAAACAACATTTTGAGTTAACCACAATGAGATTTAGTGAGGAAATGTTGATGTGGATAATTAGATGCTGTTCCATATAGCACCCACAAAATAGTCAGCAAAACATTTTCGAAAATTGTTGTGCTTCAATTGTGATGATTATTTGTTAACGCAGCTGGCGCCCTGCCACCATGGCAAGTATTTCCTCACAAAAAAGGACATGCTTTTATGCAAACATTGAAAAGTGTTTAAGAGATCTTTGCTAAGGAAAAATACTGTCAATCTCCAAAACACGTACGATGTGTGATATTCAATATGCATCTTACTTACAGCAAACTCTTGGCCTTGATGTCGGAAGTATAAATTGAACTAAATATAAATTGAATTTGATTAGAGTTCTCTAGGCTATGGTTATAATGTGACAAGTCATTACAACCCCCACATGACCTGGACAGGAAAGTGCTATAATGGAGGAAAACGTGGTAGTCGTGGGGACTGATGTTGGTCTGAGCCAGATGGGATCTGTGTCAGGGTAATTAGTCTCAGGAAACTGTCTCTCATAGATTCCTCAGTGGCACCAGGTATGCAGTTACAGTTGTGCCTTTCATGATGTCAGGAGTAGAAGAAGCCACAGGCCACTGTTGTACCCATTGTCATGGGGCCTCTCTGCTCTGTTCTCTTTTACTAAGTCTGACCATCCTCCTCCCTTTTCTGAAATATTATTTTAACCTATTTTTTTCAGCATTGTGGGATGACATCACATTCCCTATTGTTAGCACAAAGAAAGAGAGAAAAATGCATCATTTGGATGCAGTCCAAGGAGCATTAGAGTAGATACAGGGATGAATGATAACATGAACATAAAGAGACACAAATATGTTCATGGCTCTTGATTTCTTTCAAACTGCTCCTTTTAAAGAAATAGGCAATAACATTTGTTATTTATTTATTTATTTTTGAGACATAGTCTCACTATGTCACCCTCGGTAGAGTGCCATGGCGTCACAGCTCACAGCAACCTCAAACTCCTGGGCTCAAGCAATTCTCTTGCCTCAGCCAGTAATATTTGCTTTTTTACATTTAATTTTTATTTCTAAGTGATGTTCAAATTGTTCAAAAGCCAGTACAGTAAGTATATGGTGGAAAGTCTTCATCTCATCATTATATCCCTACTGCCCAGTTCTCCCCAAAGAGTCACCCTTGTTTTTAGTTCTATGAGTAACCTTTCAGAAATTCTTTAATCATATATAAGCAAATGCAAATGTAGAGTCTTACTTTGAAAAAACTAAGCAGATAATAAACTAAACTAAGCAGATCCATTCTGGGAAGCTGGTAGGTATTTCTTCTCCTATCCAAAGTGTACGTATACACCTCTTCTGATACTGTAAATGGTATCACAAATCGTGGAGAGCTTGCTGGTGGAGGGGGGCTCCCTGTCACTGGCCTGCTGAATAAGAATGGCAAAGTGTAGTCAAGTCGAGTCTTCTAGAATATACAACTTCCCTTTCCATCCCTGAAAGTAAGGGGAAACCACTGAAAGGAACAAGAGGAAGAAGAAACCAGATCCATGTGTAGAAACAACTTACAAATGAATGCAGTTGTCTTTTCAAATCAACTGCTTTTTCTATCATTTCCTAAAGACATTAGTGCCCGTGGTGTGAGTTCAGAGCAGATCCCATAGTTTTGCCAAATCACTCAGCTGGCCCTAGAAATGGGGCTGGATCAAACCAGAGCTGAGAGAATTACGGTGTTTCCTTCCTCTCGCTGACCCTCTCTGGAATGAGTGAGCACAGGTGATGAGGTGGTGTTCACTCAGAGGCAGGGCGCCACATGCATGTGGAAGGGGAGGTGTGGGCTCCTGTTATTTTTGGAGGCTGTAATTCCACTGGTGGTTTTCTTAGCTCATCCTCTTCTGCAATGTTTTCATTGCCCTAAACTTTGTCCTGAAATCTTAAAAGTTACCACTGACATGAGAAGTAAGATGTATGCTTCAAGGTTAGACTTAGAAACCTATTCTAATGAAAATTTTCTTCTTTGATCCCATGTACTGAGTTAAATTGTAATAAAATATAACTGTAACTCCTGCTTATATTAAGACTTGACTTTCAAATGCTTCTTCCTAATTAATCATAAAAGCATAACTCCTAGTAAGATCATCCTCAAGAAATCACTGCTTACATTGCTAATTGCCATTAAAAACAAATCATATGAGGACTTCATACCAAGTACCATTGACATAAGTAGATGCTTTAAAAGGTGTGGTAGATGCACTCTATTCCAACTTAAATGCTCAGCAGCCACTAATCACTCTTCTTGGGCATTCTATAAAAATTGTAACATCTGCATTTTCCCCTATAAACTCAGTTGCTGTCAAAGAAATTTGTTAAATATGAGCAAGGAGGTTAGTTTAGACTCAAAGGATCACTTTCACTTTTAAGCTGATTATTAGAGAACTGGGAGCCAAGTAAATGGTGGATGGGATTGAACCAAGCAGATCTGAAATGAAATTTGCCCATCTGTCCATCCACCCAACCACCTGATAAATATTAATATGTGTTACATCTTATATATGACAAGATTAGGCAGGATATTCCTGTATAAATTCCTAAATTCCTGTTCCTACACAAATCATTTGGAATGTATTATTTAGGGGAAGAGAGCATAAATAAAATAATCACAAACTGTGGTGATCTTCATGAAGAAAACAAACAAGAGGCTGAATTAGAAGAGAGTGGGAGGAGAGTGTCATAGGTTTTGTAGAGGAGGTAATGCCATTACCATGTACCTGCATGAGGTAGTGGGATTTAGGCTACACACCTACAGGATGAACAGAAGGTGGCCAAGCCAAGAGTGGAGACAAGCATTGAGACAAAGAGAACAGCATGCACAAAGGTTTTCAGGTAGGAAATGTGCTGGTACATCCAAAGGCTGAAAGACCAGGGAGCATTTTAATCCTAGATCTGCCTTCAGTTGCTGTGGAGGATTCAACAAGCCACTCAGTCTTTTGCGCCTTCATCTCTTCATTTTCCAAGTTGAGATAATGGTGCATACCTCACAGAGTGGTTGGTTGGGAGAACTTAAGGTGTGTTAAATGAGATAACATATAGCTTATTTGAATCGCTTTATATCCACAAAAATGTCTCTGAGATTCTACCTAGGTCCTCATCCCCCAGTGTGTTTGACCTGTCTAATCTCCTGATCATTTTATGTAGACTTGAGAGCTATACTACTGGAGCTAAAGAACATTTCCACCCCTGGTATTCCACATGTAAGGGGAGGAGAGAATAGGCACAGTTTCTAAAGTTAGAAATTTAGAAAAAAGGGGGAGAGAGAGAGAGAGAGAGAGAGAGAGAAAGGAAGTAGGGGGAATAGAGAAAAAGAGAAGGGAGAGAAGGGACAGAGAAAATGAGAAAGTAAAAATGGAGGATTTTTTTTAATGTGTGCCTCATCAGTTATGCAATGAATTTATGAAATTAAATTTTAAAGCTTAAGCAAAGTTTTACTTTTAGGACAAGGGGGAGGTTTGGGGCTAGGTGTTCAGGAAGCAGAATAAAAAGAAATGAAATAATGATCACTGACTACCTGATACATAACAGACATGGTGTTTGGGCAAGTTATATATTTTATCTTATTTAATTTTCACAAGAATCCTAAAAGATAGGTTTTATTTGCCTCCTCTTAAAAAGGGGGAAAATGTGAAAAAAATGAGGCAAAGGAGCCTCTGAGAGAAATATAGACTTCCCTTAGTCAGTGTCCTTCTCTTACCTTGGGTTATTTAATTTGGAACTGGGCAATTCTTTAAAAGTTAGAGTCTATAAAGCATAATTGTATGTAGTTGATATGCTTCTTTAGAATATTATTGTGGCAGTATGACATTAACACCAATGAATTAATAGCTAATTATTAATTGTAATGGATAATAAGGATAATAATGCCATTACCATTAATTTATATCAGTGCAACAAACATTTACTGAATACCCAGCCATATCTCAGGCACTGCAGTAGATGGGTAGAGATATACATAGTACAGTGCATGGCTTGTTGGGGGGAATAATGGGTAGCCCATTGCAGCCACAGTGTACACTGGGGTGGGGGTGGTCTGCACAGTTGATGTGATGAAGGGTCTTGATGCCTTAGTAAAGAGTTTGGGATCTTGTCCCATAGAAGATAGGCACATGATCAGAAAGCATTTTAGGAAGGCTGCTCACACAACTATTATTATTTTTTAACTAAAAAAAAGTTACAACTATTTTTGGACAAGGCTTTATAAGCACCAGTTCATCCTGTGGGGTCGTGTTAATAACCTTCATCTTGCATTATGTTCCCTCTTTCCTTTTAGGAATGGTAGAAGGTGCCATGGACTTGATCTTGATCAATTCCCTACCACTTGTATCCGATGCTGAAACATCCCTTACCTGCATTGCCTCTGGGTGGCGCCCTCATGAGCCCATCACCATAGGGAGGGACTTCGAAGCTTTAATGAACCAGCACCAGGTTCCACTGGAAGTTACTCAAGATGTGACCAGAGAATGGGCTAAAAAAGTCGTATGGAAGAGAGAAAAGGCTAGTGAGATCAATGGTGCTTACTTTTGTGAAGGGCGAGTTCGAGGAGAGGCAATAAGGATACGAACCATGAAGATGCGTCAACAAGGTAACGTACCCCTAAATTATGGGCAGTTGAGGTTCACTGAGGCACACACAGGCATCTTTTGCTTTGGCAGCTGCTCCTTCAGAGGCTGGGCATGAACCACCTGAGTGTAGAGCTTATAGACCGTGTCTGCCTCTTTCCAAAGCATTGCTGTCTCTGATACACAGAGTCTTGGAGATAGAGCCCATCCAGTCCAACCCTCTCGTTAGACAATGTGCCAACCTCAGAGATCAAATGAAATATATGTTCTACTGAAGGCTTCATAGCACTTATAGCAACATGACTATGTAATATGTACATAATATGAAAATATGAAGACAACTGCCTATTGACAAACTATGAGCCATTTTGAACTTTCTCATTGATTTTTCTTATAATACTCTGTTTTGCTTGCCCCTAAGTACTCTTAAAGGAAGTTAATACCTTCAGGGGGAAATTATGATAGGAATAAAAATTTGAAAGGGAAACATCTATTGATAACCCAATTTAATTGGTTACTTGGTACGTCAGTTATCTATTGCCACAATAATGCTGTGGAGCGTAACCGTAAACCACAGTGGCATACAACAATAAGCATTTACATCTTATGAATCTAAGTCAGCTGTGTTGATCAGCTGACTCTGCGGACCTTGGCTGGGCTTTCTTACGTATGCGATGTTGGCTGGCTGTGAGCTTATTAGGTGGACCTTGGCTGGGGTAATCTGCCTGGGTTCCATATGTCTGTTATCTTGTAGTAGGCTAACCTAGGTATGAGAGGAAAGAGATGGAAGAAAAAAAAATGGCAGCACATGAGGCTTCTTGAAACTGAGGCTCAGATTCTATACCACCACTTCTGCTTCATTTTATTCACCAGCACACGACAAACAGCGAAGCCTAGAGAGCGAGAGGGCACCACAGACTGAAATGGCAAGGAGGATGGATGCTCCGAGGGATGACGAACTGGGGCCCTCTTCATAGGCTAATACTCTTGGAAAGGGACCGTGATCTAATTTTAGTAATCAAATACCCGGGCCCAGCTCAAAAACCCCCCAGGGGGTTTTCAGATTTTCAAAGCCTTTTCTAAGGAAGAAGCCTCCTTGCCACCACACCACAAGGCAGTGATGGTAATGGTACTTTTCTTCCAAAATAGAAGTGGGTCCTGATCTAAATCTTTAAGCCAGTCCATCAATCTGATGGCAGTTGGGGGAGATGGTGTTGCAAGTATTATTTAATGGCTGTGATGTAAGGTTCCCAGGCCTGCACAGTCAGGTACGCTTCTTGATACTGTCTGCTGGGAGGAAGGTACAACATTCCAAGCTGAGACAACCCCTCTTTATTCTGTCCGGGATGATCTGGTCTCTCCCCCATCAGCCATTCTCTCTGAGATGCTGATACCTAAAATGAAGGCATCCTTTCCAAATTAGTATTGTCATAACCTTGGGAGCTGAGAACTGAGGGTCTATTATTTCATCAAATAATGCATTGTGAGCTCTTTAAGGGTTTGACTATTAATTATAAAGCTAATTAACATAGGTAATACACCCCTGTATATTTCTGATTGACAGTTCCTGATATATAATAGTATAAGAATACATAGTTTTTTTATCGATGTTTCTTGAAGTTCTACATGCTTATAAATCATCTGTGGATCACCTACCGATCCAGTAGATGTAAGAGAGAGTCTTGAGAGTCTGAAGTCTGAATTTCTTTTTTCTTTTTCTTTTCTTTTTTTTTTTTTTTTTTTTTTTTTTTTTTGACACAGAGTCTCATTCTAACACCCTGCCCTCAGTAAAGTGCCCTTAGCCTAGCTCACATCAACTTCAATCTCTTGGGCTCAAGTGATTCTCTTACCACAGCCTCCAAAGTAGCTGGGACTATAGACACCCACCACAACACATGGCTAGTTTTTCTATTTATAGTAGATATGGGAATCTCACTCTTGCTTAGGCTGGTCTCAAACTCCAAGCTCAAGCAATCCAGGTCTCCTAGAGGCCTAGGGTTACAGGTGTGAGCCACTGTGCCTGGACAAGAGTCTGAATTTCTAACAAGATCTCAGGTGATGAGAATCTGCTCAACCATGGACTATACTTCAAACAGCGAGGACTTAGGGTCAGCCTCTAGCTGGGGTCCACTGGTAAACATTTCTCTGAATGTGTGAATGATAGCGATGAAGGCAGCAAATTCATTTTAAGGTAAAAAGTAATAAAATCACTATTTATTACAAAAGAAAGAAAGAGTTTTCTTAGTAAAACTATAATAATGTTCACCTTTAAATGACACCAGCGTAAGTGGGAAAAGTGCACAACAGAAATTCCCAGGAATGCGGCTCTCGGGTGAGGGAAGAGAGGTTGCATAAAGGGATGTGAGGTGTGCCAAAGCCATCACGGCTGAAAGTCGGCTCTGTTATTTTTCATTATGTGTCATTTGGGGTTTGACTTGTATAAAGAGTAATGTTCTTCTGCTGATGTTTCCACATTCTGAATGAAGGTGATGAGATTGTGCCCTGACAGTTTCATGGGAATGAAATTCAAAGGGTCAGTACACCCTTTTTTGACTGTCCTGAGATTGTCCTTCACAGTTCCTCAATAAGAACAAGTAGAGCATGTTGAACTAGAACAAGCAGTGCCTGTGGCTCAGTGAGTAGGATGCCAGCCCCAAATACCGAGGGTGGCGAGTTCGAACCTGGCCCCAGCCAAACTGCAACAACAACAACAAAACAATTGTCATGATCCCTCCAAACTGAGAATAAAGGACAGCTTCCAGTCAGTGAAGGGACACAAAGGTAGGCTTGGATCCTGAGCAGCAGGAAGGAGAAGATGACTTTTAAACTTATAGTCACTCGAGTTTTTATTCTTTCTCTACTACTTACCAGCTATGTGGCCTTAGGCCAGTTACTTCTATTGGCATTTTTCACCATCTGTGAAATGAATGTAATAATACCTACAAAATTGTATTTTAAAAATAAGATGGTACAGTTCTCTCGATGCATCGGTACATACAGATGTGTTCCTCAAAGCTTTCATAAAGCGAGATTGCAGAATAAGGTGCAGAATGTAAGAACAGCAGTTCTTAAATGATGGGAGTGGGATTTAGTGCCAATGATCTGCCTTCAGAGCCTGTGTTCATAACACCCGCACTACCCTTTGCATGTCTTTCTCACTTAATGTTAACAGCTCCCCCTGATTCTGAGCACTTGGATAAAGAACAATGATTCCATTTAAACCCTAACAAGCAACCCAGGGCACAGGTATGAGGGCAGAAATCAGTCAGATATGGGCTTGAGCCCAGCTCTGCCATCAAATGGTGTGGCCCAGCACACACCACTTAATTAAAGTCATAGTTGTTCCTCACTTAGAAAAAAAGAAATTGGGATAGAGATTTTATCACGTAAATTTGAAAATTAAATGAGGCACTTAAAGATTGCTAATGTTATCCAGTTTACAGTAAGTGTTCAATAACTATCCTTACTGTAGTGTCTTGGTTTAATAATTTAGTGAGACTATTTTCTTACTCAATTATAGAAATTTTTAATATCACGCACTAATAGGATTGTGGCAGTTTATACAAAATATGAAAATAGGGAGCATATTCGCTCTTGTGTTTTGACAGTCACAGCTCAGGCTGTTGAGCTGGTCCTATTTCTCCTGCTGACCAGCTGGTAGGGTAAAGTCCATTGTGGTGAATCAGGAGAAACCTCTAGCACTATGTCTTCGTGCCACTATTAATTCCTGAGTGAACATCATGGGAACTCAGAAATGCCTGCCCAGGGACTCAGCAGGACAGGATAAACACAAATATATTCCTGCTTGCTGCTGACTCCTGCATCTCGGAGGAAGTGGAAAATCCATCTGTGATGTGCCAAAACACAGCTTAAATTGGCTCGCATGCCCCAAATAGCCGAACTGTTTTTTATCAATGGCATTATCCAAAACCTTCAACAGCACTTTGTTCAGACCTCACGGGTGATTTCAGTTGGGGAGAGGGAGTTATAAATAAACTTTGAAACATTTTTAGACCCAAAGCTCTGTTTCAGAATGATCTTTTAGGAGAAACATGTTTTTTTAATGATTATTTTCATTTAAGAAATTGCTTTATCTTAAAAATATCAAGCTCCCCAAACATGATTCGTGAAGTTGATGGGGAGGAGCCATTCCCAGCACGGATGAACATGTTAAAAGCACCAAGACAATAGGAAAACTTGAAATCAGATTCCACAAGGATTCTTCAGCCTCTACTTGAGCCACCCACAGGGGCTGCAATGTTGTCAGCACTTCCTGAACACTTACTAGGTGTCTGTGCCTTCCCCTCCCAACTTCACGAACATTACTATCTAATTTAGTCTTTATCAAATTCATGTCAGATGAAGATTTTTAAGACCCCATTAGTAGATGAGGCTTACAGCTATTGTAACTTAGGTGTGTTCCCTAGCTGGTGAGAGTTGGAAAGTCGGGCCTGAGTCCAGAGACTGGCTCTAACCACCGCCCTGTGCTGTCTTTTAAAACTGACAAGATCTTGCTCTCCTGGGACACTGTGTCTAGAAGGGTCGATACACCAGGAATGGCTGTGAGGAGGAAGTGCGGGATATTTGGAGAGGAGACCTGAGAGCCCCGAGAGCCCCTTACCTGTTTTCCAGGGGTGGTATAAGGTCCCTGGGGACATCTAAATGGAGACTGATGAGTGAGTAGGAGCTGGAGAGACACAGGGGAAAGGAGGGAGGCGAATGAGTGAGTAGGAAATCAGCTGGAGGCACTTATATAGTTCAGAATGGCTGGAATTGAGAGCTAAGAGCGCAGGCCTGGAGAATGATAATCTTGGAGAGCTGGTGTTATGTAATGAGTGTGGAGGTCTTCACTTTGTGTCTCAACTTCCACACACAGCCATGCTTAGCCCCATCTTACACATCGGTAAGCTGTGGGTGTGGGTATACCATCCACATGGGGGTAACTGTGAAAGCCTTACGAAGCTGCAGTGGACAGAGAGCTGCGCTGTTGCCCGAATACTTGTCTAGCGTTAAAGGGTGAAAGGTGTAAGCCTGACTCCCAGAAACGAGACTGGAGCAGAGATTCAGGCCAGGTTTATTGTAAGGGGAGGGAGCCCTCCTGGGCAGTGCAAAGGTGCATCTGCCCCTGGGGGGCAGTTAGAGACCACTTTTACTTGGGGCCCATAGAGGGTGGGCAAAATCCACAGCTTGCCTGGAAAGTTAGGGTGTTTGGTGTGAACTTTAGGCGGTGGAGACTAGACAGATCCTTTGTGTTTTTGTCTCAGGAGGGGAGGGAAGAGGGCAAGGAGGGGAAAGGGTCCATGTGTAGCTGCATCAGGCCCCTCAGCAAAGGAGACAACTGAAATTTAGCTCAATCATTTTCCAACTGTGAGAATTATCTTTGTGTACTGTTTTAGCACCACATACTTTTCTCTCCAGCCCATAAAGGGCAAGTGGATGGTGTCTCTTAGTTAAGTTCTGTCTACTAATTAGCCCAACCCAACAATCTCAAGCAAGTCATGTTCTGACACAGGCCTCAGTCATCTCATTTATAAAATGAAGTGGTTGGACTTTAAAGCCTTTTGAGCGCTAAGGTATATAATCTACAGAGCCTCCAGAGCCCTGTTGCCTGGTTCAAATCCTGGCTCTCACTATGTGACTTGGACAGGTTACTTAGCCTCTCTCTATAATTGTACTACCTATCTCATAGGAATATTATAAAAATTGACTTTATGTAAAGAGCTTAGACCTACACTTGGTGCAATAGCAGGCACTACTGAAAGGTGCTTATTGTTTTCATCACCCAGCCAAGTCGCATGACACTTGTACCAAATACAAGCCGGGCTCCTGTGTCATCAGGATTCCTGAAGGAGAACATGGAGGCTGAAGTTTCTTCCTTAGTACTCAGCGGAGAACCATCAGCCTAGAGCCATTAATGCAGGAGGAAGCAGGCTGGACAGCCGTGGAGCTCTCGTGTGCTTCTGCCCCTGAGAAAACATCTTAAAAGATACAAAGTCTGAAATAATAAAGAGCAACAGAGTAGGGGAGGGGAAAATTACTGGAGTTGCCCCCCAACCCCAGGATCCTTTTCAGAACACGGTGCTGAGTGAGAAGTCCCATGGTCAGCTAAACAACCTTCACACAAAGAGACAGAAAATATAAACAAGCTACATAGAAAGGAACAGTTGAAACAAACAGAAAAAAAAAAAATCTCAGAGGAGCCCAGAGCATGTCACAGAGAGCAAGAGCTGAGTGCATCAGGATGGCTTAATGAAGTAGCCGTCAGTCTGACCAGGAGCCCGTAAAGTGCACCCCTCACCCTGCGCCTTCCCACGTGTGGTTGTCCATTTTAGTTCTGTAGGGAAAGCCCAGGGCTGATGGCAGTGTGCACGCTGCCCTTTGACCCAGGCCACGCTCCCCTGAGTTTGTCCTAGGTCTTCACCTGCACCAAGGCATTCACATGCCCGGCCATGGAGGAAGTCCCGCCAGGGCACCACAGCCGGGTCTGCAGGCACAGCCCACAGCTGAGAAAAACCTAGAGGCCCTAAAGCTCTGGGTCCTTCTGACCATGGGTCAGAGGTATCTTCTAGCCTCACAGGAGGGCTTCCAAGCCAGCCGTGTTCACAGCACTTACCAGTCTCTCTCAAGCCACCCATCCAAAGCCACAGATGAGATGGAAATGATGGCACAGTAACCAGTTGATCCACCACAGGTTCTCAGCAGGAGTCTCTGAGCCTCAAGGCTTGGTCCTGGGCTGAAACTCTATAGAAATTCTTACTTTGGGGTGTGGGGTGTTTTGCTATTGATTTAAAATTTACGTGCCCTCTGGTTGGAGAATTTGTTACTCACAGAGGTGTGCTTTGTGGCTTAATAGGGAGGTAGCGTGCTTGAAAAGAACCTGTGTTTAGCTAACTGGGCACAGGTTTCATGAGGAGTTAACAGATCTTTAATCGTGCTCACTGCAATCAGTCCTGGGCTTGATCCACCCTCTGCCACTTACGGACCTTTCTGAGCGAGATACCTCAGCTCTGCAAATCTCAGTTTCCTCATCCAGAAGCAATAATACTTACCTTTGCAGGTTGCCAGGAATATTAAATGATGTTAGCTAAGGCCTCGGGTGCTCAGAAGAGGTCAGGGTAAATAAATGGCAACGCGGCTGTGCTGACCTTTACGACGTGGACCCGAGGGGCCGCTTTCCCTATGGTACTAAAACGGGCAACTGCACATGGGAAGGCGCATGGCGAGGGGCGGCCTTTACGGGCTCCTGGGCAGACTGACGGGTACTTATTAAAATCTTCTTTATATTTCTTAGATAATTTTCAGTCTGTTTGATTAATTAAATTTTCTGAAAGTTTCCACTGTGCTTGTAGTTTCTTTCTTAAATTCTGTCAGTTTTTGTTTCATGAGTTTTCAAGCTTTATTGTTAGATGCATATAGTTCAAGATTATTATATCTTCCTGCCCAAGGTGTGGGAATAAAATCTAACGAGGTTTTATTAGATGGTGAATGGTTCTGTCTTCGTATCATCTAAAGACCATCTTGATCCATAGCATTTGTTTTGGCTCACGAATAACTTTTCTTCTGTGTAAATGTTATAATACTAGTTTCTTTTGGTTAGTATTAGCTCAGGGTATTTTTATATCCCTTTATTTTCAAGCTGATATGTCATTATGTTTCATATATATTTCCTGGGAAGAGCACATAATTATATATGTATGTTAGAATTTAAATTTTAAAATCTATCTGAATTCATTCCACCATCCTCTCTCCTTTAACATATATTTGTCTTTCCTCCTCCCTATTCTTTTCTTTTCCATACCATAATAATCATTGGGCCCTTTTGCTTTTTCTCATTTTACGTCTTTTGTTCATGTCCCTTCTTTCCTGCCCTCCATGATAAGGAATGTCATATCAGTTACTTATCTTTTAGTAGTGATCCTTACATTTTTAACATTGGCTTAATTTTAAAAAGCCCGAAGTTGGCTCGCTGCCCATAGCTCAGTGGTTATAGTGTTAGCCACATACACTGGGGCTGGCGGGTTCAAACCCAGACCCGGCCAGCTAAACAACAATGACAACTGTAACAAAAAATAGCACGGCCTTGTGGTGGGTGCCTGTAGTCCCCGCTACTTGGGAGGCTGAGGCAAGAGAATTGTTTAAGCCCAAGAGTTTGAGGTTGCTGTGAGCTGTGACACTATGGCACTCTACTGAGGGTGACACAGTGAGACTCTGTCTTAAAAATACAAACAAAAAAAAAAAACACCCCTAAAGTTAATTCTTCTGTATTCCACAGAGTTTGGCTTTTTGCAAATGATGGTATACATTAAAGGAATTTGGAAACTCTGGTTGCTGGGAGAATGCTAGAAGATTTTATTTACACATTTTGTCCAACTTACCAAGGGAATCAGGAAATTTTCCAAGCCTGACACAGAGACAAAAGTTTTCAGTCAACTGGCTTATGCTTGTATAAGTCAAGCATAGAATAACTTCCGGTTTTCTCCAACCACTGTGTAGTCTCATAACTATGTCAGTTTTTAAATGTATAATTAAAGGGTAAAAGGCATAATATTGGATTCCATCCTTTATTCTTCAATATTTAAAGGTATTTAAACCATTAGTAATAAACCCAGTACTGTGTTCATTCCATGTGAGAAATGCTTGCAGCATTCTAAGCAATAAGAATTCCTTGAAACCACAAGAATGATGCCACAAAAGGACTTAAGGAAAAGCCATTGACAAATGTTTGTTTCTTTTCCACTTTGGGGAAACTCATCTTCCATTCATATTTTTTCCACTTTGAGAAAAATTAGGAGGGATTGGAGAAGGATGTCAGATTCACAGTGACTATGGTTTAATATCGTGAATTTGTTTGATAATAGATGCAGTTGAGGATCTCAAATCCAAAAATATGAAATTCAAAATGCTCCACCATCTGAAAATTTTTGAGGACCAATGTAGTGCTCAAAGGAAATGACCATCGGAACATTTTGGATTTTTGGATTTAGAATGTTGACATAATGCCAATATTCCAAAATCTAAGTACTCTGGATCTGAAACACTGTGGTCCTGAGCTGTTCATATAAGTGGTATTCAATCTGTACTAGTCAACACTATGTCCTTATCACCCCAACCAGATGCATGGAAAAGTTGTGTATATGTATATTATTTACATTTACATAGAGGAAATGACCCTTTCTTTCATCAGATTTTTTAAAAGGTTGTAACTTTAAGAAAGATTAAAACCCATTAGTCACCAGTGTTTTTACTATTTTTCATATGCGAACAACTAGCTGACTCTTAGCCAGTCTCCACCCTCACCTTTGGCAACTGAATCTCAAAGCTCAGTTGCTTCTGTAGAAAATGTGTGACCTCATTTTTGGTATTTGTTTTCTCTCTCTCTCCTTTGAAAGCTTCCTTCTTACCAGCTACTTTAACTATGACTGTGGACAGGGGAGATAATGTGAACATATCTTTCAAAAAGGTATTGATTAAAGAAGAAGATGCAGTGATTTACAAAAACGGTGAGTGTGTGCTTCATTTCCTCCCAGCACCATGGTGTGACCCACCAGATAACACAGCATTTGGGGTCATTATGCTATTTACAGTCTCAGGGGCAGATGTTTGCTTAAAGTTGCCATGATACAAGCTTGCCAAATTCTGTGTATGATAGAAGCCCTCTTGGGGGGTGTGTTTGGTTGCTTAAGTAAATGAAAGTGGAAGTCATATACATTAATAGATGGGAATATCAATATGCATGTACATACATTGTACATTTGTGAATATACTTGGTGTATGTATGTTCAATAAAGCCCCATCATAATGTGATAAGAGGGGTCCTAAATTCAATCGTGTAAAAGGTGAGGTTGTTTGTAAAATTAAGGAAATGACCTAGTAAAACTGGAGAGCCAATTGTCAGCAGTTCTGGAGGTCCAACTATGTAATCCAAATCCGTCTGGGTCCGAGCTGTGGTTTGGCACCACCTGGTGGCAGTTGCCTGATCCAGCTGGAATATTGATGGGGGCCATTCTGAATTCTGTGGGTGGATAGGATTTCTAGGTTAGAGCAGGGATTCTAAGTATCCCCTGGTTAGCTGACTAGGAGACAAGGTTACTGGACACTTCCCACCTGGCTTTGCCTGCTACTCTACGTTCACCTGTCCCTATAGAAGGTAAGTACTTAGACTACCTCCATCTAAGTGTGCTTGGGGTAGATTCTGCAGAGTAACCTGTCTGCTCTATCACCAGGCCTTTCTTCACTACCAGGAATGCATTGAATAGTTCTGCCTTTTCATTCTTCTCCTACAACCAATATGTGAGAGCACATTTTCTTTATCAGGGCAGGGGAAACTGATTAAGTGGAAGGGCCAGACAATGAAGCCAAGAGTGTGACTGATTATTCTCTACTTTTCTCCATCACTAGGGTCCTTCATCCATTCAGTGCCCCGCCATGAAGTACCAGATATTTTGGAAGTGCATCTGCCTCATGCTCAGCCCCAGGATGCTGGCGTGTACTCAGCCAGGTACATAGGAGGCAACCTGTTCACCTCGGCCTTCACCAGGCTGATAGTCCGGAGTAAGTGATCAAGAGGCCGCCACTTGCAGTGGTGTAGTTAATAGAATTTTTAGTGCAACTAACATAAACAAAAAACAAAGATTGGTTGGGAAAAACAGAGATCAGTTGACTCTCCAGAGGTTCTGAGGGTCTTAGTATCTGTGTGCCAGGAATCAGGGAGAGAGACCAAATACAGTATCTACAGTAGAGCCTCATGAGTTGACCACCCAAAGGACTATCACAAACTGGTCAACATATGGAAGTGGTCAATGAAAGGAACTTCCATTGAGTGCATGTGGTGCATGTCCAGTCTATGAAAATTAGGACAACGTAAGGATGTGGGTGGTGTAGAAAGGTGTCAACTATGGAGGTTCTACCGTATTTATTATATCATAATATCATGGTGGTAAAAAGCTTAATGAAAAATGTGTAAATGTTAAAACAAACATGACTTAGCATAGAGTAGAATTCAAAATTCACTTGAACTCCTAAGGTCAAGCAAAAGATTTGATTTTGATCTCCAAGTTTTCTCTTTTCAGATTGTGCTAGGAGCACACGTTCATTTCCCCTGTTGTTAGGAGTGTATGTATTTTGACAAAACCATTTGGGAAGCACTGCTCATATCTAAAATCAAACTAAGAAAGTTTGAGTCGGGTCACAGTCATTCCATTTAGGAATATTTTTCCCTAGCAGGAGTTTTCTGATGTTTAATAAAAAATGATGTGCCGCTGAAGGCATTTGTCCCTTTCTCATAACTATAGGGTATCTCTCCAGGATAAATTGAAGCCCAAACATAGTACCTAAAAATTTTGTGAGGCTTGGCACCTGTAGCTCAGCAGCTAGGGTGCCGGCCACATTCACTGGAGCTTCTTTGCCACTTAGGCAGCCCTGCAAATTTAGCTTTCATGGCACCCCTTCTGGGAAGCCTTTCTTTATGCCCTCTTCCCTCCCCAAGACAAGACCAGATACTCTTTGTCTTTGTTCCTATCATCATTTCTTACTTACATGTCTGTCTTCCATATCAGACAACTACCTTTTAGACAGCAGAAACTGTATTTTATGCTCAGTTACCAGTGTCCACTAAAATGACTGACACATACGTTGACCCCAAATAATTGATTGATGCAAAGGATCTCAATCAATGGAGGTTTATTAAAGCCAAAGTTGAGGACACGCAGGAAAAACACAGCACAGACCAACCTGTGGATGTTTTCCTGAAGGAGAATGTGGAAGTTTCAGCATTTAAAGGCATACAGAGGGGAAAAAAATATGCGAGCATGGGGCTAGTGAGACAAAATGATTACATAAGAGCAGGCAAGTGTCAGAGGAGAAGAAGAGAATAAAGGAAACACTTGCTCCTGGGTAGGTGGAGGAATATCTGATCCTGTCTTGTCTCTGTTCTGTTCTGTTCTGCACCTGTGAAGATAAACTTACAATTCATTGTTAGTGTGGAATTGGAATAGACTTCAGTTTTAGGTGTCAGAGGGAGCCTGTAGAACTACAGCTATAATTTGCATGTCCTTGTTTATGGGAGGCAAGCAAGAAATTTCCTTAATGAATGATCTGTGAGACCAGTCCTTCACAAATGCCTGAGGGATCTACCTCCCCTCCCCCTTTTGCATTAGGGGAAGTGGTCCTCAGATTTTTATTTTCTTTTTACACATAGTAGATGCTCAATAAAAGTTTGGTGAATGAAAGTGCTTTACTCACTATAGTCCTTTTTCCTTAATTAAAGGATGTGAAGCTCAAAAGTGGGGACCTGAATGTAACCACCTCTGTACTGCTTGTGTGAATAACGGTGTCTGCCATGAAGATACTGGAGAATGTATTTGCCCCCCTGGATTTATGGGGAGGACATGTGAGAAAGGTAAGTCTAGAGTTCTTGATTAGTAATCTGTAGATTTAAAAAGCCATCACTGTAGGATCTAGAAGTTTTGATCTAGACACAGATGATAATAGAAACTAAATGGCCTCCATTAGGCCATAAAATTGCTTGTGCAAATTAGAAAAAGTTGCCCTGTCCTTAAGGTTCTTTATTGCCAACCACTGGAAAGTTATAATAAATACAAAAATCTATGATGTTTACAATGTGAATGTCACCCTCCAGATTTGTGCAGTATATACCCTGATAACTGTGAGCGGTGGCCCTGATGGTGGTGGTGGCTCTGTGGGGCAGTTTCATTACCTGTAAAATGGACCATACAAGTCATGTCCACCCTACCTATGGCCATAGCTGAGATTAGACTATTGTCCATGTTCTATAGTCCAGGAGAGACTAATTCAAAGAGCAATTATGCATATTTGACTCTGAGTTAACTTTTTTGTTTCCCTCCAAAGCTTGTGAGCTGCACATGTTTGGCAGAACTTGCAAAGAAATGTGTACCGGGCCAGAGGGATGCAAGTCCTATGTGTTCTGTCTCCCAGACCCCTATGGGTGTTCCTGTGCCACAGGCTGGAAGGGTCTGCAGTGCAATGAAGGTATGGACCAATTACACTCTTGAATTGACAGAGATCTAGCAGGTGTACAAAGGAGATCCACTTTGCTGGAAATCACAATGTAGGCTATACCTGGACTAACTGCCCAATCAAATTACACATTGTTGGGCTACAGATTTTGAACCATAGATGCTCAAAGTTAATTATAATTTCACAGTAAGTCTATGGACCTTATAGGAAGTGCATCTCACACATATCACCTGAGGATCTTACAAAAACATGGATTCTAAGGTGGCACCTGTGGCTCAAAGGAGCAGGGCGCCGGCCCCATATGCTGGAGATGGCAGGTTCAAATCTAGCCCCGGCCAAAAACTGCAAAACAAACAAACAAACAAACAGAAAAACAGATTCTAATTTGGTGGGTCTGGGCTTGGGCCTGAGGTTCTGTTTTTCTAACAAGCTCCTAGGTGGTTCTAGTGCTGTTGGTTTTCAAACCACACTTTGAATAAGAAAACCATAGAATTTGTTTTTTTTTTTTTTTTCTCAGTGGGCCATAAAAATGATCAGAGTTTTTAGATCAGATTCAAACATGGTTTGAATAAATAAAAGTTAAGATTTTATCTGCTGTGGATCTGACTCAAACAGTACTAACTTCATCTACACAGAGTCCCTCTGTCCTTTCTAAAATATACTTTCCTGCTTGACAGACTCAGTGGTGTGCATGTGACATCTATGATCCAGAGTAAGTATCACATCTTCTGTCACACAGTAGCTGAACATGAACCTGCAGCTAAATATGCCAGACTCTCTCTAATGAATGTTAGCATGGTGAATTAGCCAAAGATCCAGGGCTTTTCAGTGTTTGCCTCCCAAGGTAAACACATCTGGCAGTAATGGGAGCTACAGTGGGGTCCCTAGCAACTTTTTGTCAGCGCTCTAGGACAGAGCAGTTCAGTGGAAATATAAGCCATCTGCATACAGAATTTGAAATTTTCTACTAGTAGCCACATAAAAAGTGTAAAAAGAAATAGATTAAATAATTTTAATGTTACTTGACGTAGCATGTCAGTGTTACAGCTCTTTTAGAATTTGTCTCACAGGTTTTCTGGTCTCCACTAGAAGACAGCCCCACCCCCAAAAAACACAGCATGTCAAAAAATATTACAATTTCAGCATGTAACCAGTAGAAAAAACGTTAATGAAAGGTTTTGTATTCCATTTTTCAAACTCAATTTAGACAAGCTATATTTTAAGGGCTCAGGAGCTGTTGGCTAGTGGCTTTCATCCTGGATAGCACAGCTCTAGGGCTGGAGAAGAAGGGGCCAAGATGAGGGTGACACAAAAGTATACCTATATACCATAGGTATATAGTCATATATACCTATGTGGCTACTACAAAAGTGAACCCCTCACTCAGCTTCCTCCAAATGCTGTGTCTGCCCCCATGGCATGTTGAAGGAGCCTCAGCAGTAGAGGAATCCCATCTGGCTTCTGAGATATGCCCCATAAATGGTAACTCCAGCAAGGTACATGGTGATTCCAGGAGATGTAGCCCCTCAGTAAGCTCCCAACTAATGGGTATAATATAGGGATATTTGGCATGCCTCCAAGGTGAGGGACTCAAATACAACTTGGATTTTGCCTAACCAAATGCAAACAATGTCACCTATTCATATGTACCCTTATATTAATTTATTTAACTTAAATTAAAAAATTTAAATCTTATGCAAAATTTCAAAACATGTATATACATAAACACTTTGCTAGGACCCAGGAAGAGGTACATGCAAAGAAAACAATCAAGAGAGTGAAGAGATAATGTACAAAATGGGATAATATATTTGCAAACCATACATCTGATCACGGTTACCATCTAAAATATATAAGGAGTGCAAACAACTCAATAGCAAGAACACCACCTGATTAAAAAAATGGGTCATCATGATTGGTCTCTATTGATTTTTTTTTTCTCATAAGAATGGGTTGTAGTTCTCTGTTACTTATATTGCATACTTTGGGATTATGTTTTGGATATTGTGAATGTTACATTGTAGAAACTTTGGAGTATGAGATAGAGTCTTGAGGATGTTACTTTTTTTTGACTCATTTTATCAGGCAGTAAACATTTTAGGACTCATACTGAAGACTCTTAGGTATCAGGTCAACCTCGGTTTAGTTCTTTCATCTCTAGCTTGGCTGCTTCGAGTCTGCACTGAACATGCATTGTCAGAGGATCAGCCAAAGATTTGGGACTTCTCTCTGACTTTCCTTTTCTGGGTTTTCTCCCGCGCTTTCCAGTGGCTGTAGTTGCCCTGACTCTGTCCACGGACTCCTCAGGCTAGTAAGATAGCAGGTTTTCTTCGGAGGTTTAGCCCACTCCCATTGTGTTAACTGTACTCAGCAATTAGGCTACAAGCCATCTTCCGGTTTCAATCCCCTCCAGAACATGCCTTGTTTCGTTTTTCCCCATCCCACTTTTTTGTGCTTCCAGGTAGTTGTTTCCCAAATACTGTTGTATCAATGAGAAGGTTGGCCTGGTAGAAGCTTATTCAACTCTCCTGGAGGCAGGACTCTCCAAACTTTGAAGTTCCCGGTAATTTAGATAAATCAACTGTACCTTATATGAATTGGCAAGGTTTACAGATTAGAGAGAACAATAAAACTAGCCCTCTACAGGCTTAGTTTTCTCCAAATCCCCTGAACTAACTGGTTTTTAATGTCTCTGTTTACAGCATGCCACCCTGGTTATTACGGGCCAGATTGTAAGCTCAAGTGCAGCTGTACCAATGGGGAGATGTGTGACAGGTTCCAAGGATGCCTCTGCGCTCCAGGACGACAAGGGCTCCGGTGTGAGAAAGAAGGTAAAGCAAGGTAACACTGTAGTCAGGCCACGTTCGGCACATTTGAAACGAGCTGTGCTGGTGTAATTCTTCCCCAGCACCCTAAGATCCTCTTCTGTTTTCATCTAGAAGTTGGGAAGAATTCATTGCAAATCCTGAGTACAGCATTCTAACCCTTTTCTATGGATGCTCATGGCTGTTTTCGTTTGTCTTTCCACTGAGAATAGACTGTGTGCTCTAGACAAGTGGCAGTCAGCCAGCCGAGCTCGACCTGCCTCTCCTGCACCCTTCCCCAGTACCAGCCCTTTCTCTGGACATGCAGACCAGGGAAGGAGCTACCTTGGAGAGACTGGGGCAAAGGATATTTTTACCAAGAGATATAAAGAATGAAACCAATAGAAATGGTTACACTCAAAATGAAATTTTAAATAATACTCATTCAGAAATTGTCCTAGAGCAGGAGTCAGAAAACTTTGATCCACAGACAAAACCCACCCCACTCTTTTTTTAACAGCTGTATTGAGAATAATTTTTATGTTATAATATCTACCCCTTTTAATGTACAGTTCAATGGTTTTTAGTATATTTACAGAGTTGTGCAATCATTGCCATAATCTAACTTTAAAACATGTTTATTATACCAAAAGAAACCTTGTACCCGTTAGTACTAACTCACATTCTCGCCTCCTCCCAATCTCTGGCAACCATAAATTTACAGTTGACACTTGAACAATGCAGGGGTTAAGGATGCCAACCCTCCTTGCAGTTGAAAATTCAGGTAGAACTTTTCTTCCTTCCTTCCTTCCTTTCTTTCTTTCTTTCTTTCTTTCTTTCTTTCTTTCTTTCTTTCTTTCTTTCTTTCTTTCTTTCTTTTTTTCTTTGAGGTAGAGTCTCACTTTGTCATCACCCTTCATAGAGTTCCAAGGTGTCATAACACACACTGAACTCAAGCTCTTGGGCTCAAGTGAGCCTCTTGCCTCAGCATCCTGAGTAGCTTGGACTATAGGAGCCACTATGGTACCCATGTATTTTTAGAGAAGAGGTCTCACTATTGCTCAAGATGGTCTGGAACACCCAAGCTCAGGCAATCCACTTGCCTTGGCCTCCCAGAGTGCCAGAATTATAGGCATGAGCCATTTTACTTGGCCCCAGTGTATAACTTTTGACTCCCCCCAAAACTTCTCATAGTCCACTGTAAATTAGAAGCCTTACTGATAACATAAATAGTTGTTTAACACATAAATGGACTAGTATCTCTTAATATTATATGCATTCATGAAATAATTTTGTCTTAATTTTTTTTGATATTTTTAGGCTACTACACAGTTTGTGAGTTTTTTCAAATTGTTGCAAATCTCAAAAAAAATTCCCAATATATTATTGAAAAAAACTTGTGTATAAATGAACCCACAGTGTTCAAACTCATGTTGTTTGAGGGGTGCCTATATTTTCTCTCTATAGATTTTCCTACTCTTGTCATTTTATTTTTTTTAATCTTATTTTTTTATTTTTTTGAGATGGGGTCCTACTCTGTCACCCAGGTTGGAATGCAATCACAGCTCTCTGTGACCTTGCATTCCTGGGCTAAAGTGATCCTCTCCCCTCTGCCTTCTAAGTAGCTGGGACTTTAGGTGAGTGGCACCATACCTGGCTAATTTTATTATTTTTTGTAGAAATCTCGCTATGTTGCCCAGGTTGGTCTTGAACGCCTCAGTCAGGGTGACCAGCCTTATGAAGAGAGTGGACTCTGCATTCATAAAGTCCTAGGCCTGAACCTGGCTGTAGTCTTCTTATCTGGAAAATAGGGACATAATAGCACCCACCTCACAAGCTTATTCCAGATGATAAAACAATAAAATACTTGTGAAGTTCTTGCCCAGTGCATGGCTTGCTAAGTAGCTATGTTTATTACTACTCTTGCTGCTGTGTTAAGGATCAGATGTCACAATGTGTTCTCTTCATTCAGGCATGCCAAGGATGACCCCAAAGATAGAGGATTTGCCAGATCACATAGAAGTAAACAGTGGCAAATTTAACCCCATCTGCAAAGCCTCCGGCTGGCCACTACCTGCTAATGAAGAAATGACCCTGGTGAAGCCAGATGGGACAGTGCTCCGTGTAAGAGCCACATTCTTAATCTGTTTACCTGACACCATGGAATGTTTTCAGTGTCGTAATCTCTCCCCTTAACAGCTCCACTTGGGGCTTGCTTCCTTCTAGGCCAGTGTGCTGTTAGCTTTGATAATGCCCCATTTCTGGGGAGGCAGAAGAGACTCACTGCAGTCCGCTGCCTGCCAGCGCCACAGTGCTCTGCTGGGAATATGCCCACATGGAACGGATGGAGATGAGTGCCAGGGACGAGGCTTGCCCTGCAGAAATGACCAGCTGGGTGTGAGGAGATATAGGTGTCTGCCTGTGTCTGCCCTCACAATCGCCCCAGGTCTCTAACCCCTCATAGCAGTAAGAGTAAGGTGGTCCCGTGGCCCTAGAGGGGTGCTACAACCCACGCATCAGCAGGAGATTTAGGTGCTATGAGGTGCTGCCAGGATGCGGAGTTTTGATGACTGGTCTACTTCTGTCATGCTCTGTGGAGCAGCACGTGGGAAAGTATGGAAGCGGGAGTTCAGCACCATCTATTGGACTCTAAACACATGGGTCTTCAATCTACTCCTCATGTCTCCAATTCAGAAACTGTGATCCCTGGGATCCTTAGGTCCGAGCACCTTCGGGGGCATTCCCCGGCATCTTCCCCCGGCCACACCGCTGGTCAGGGTGCTATCACAGCAGTTCTTTTCTGCCAGGAAAGACGCAGCTGCCTTTCTGACGTTTTGCTTCTTTGTTCTAGCTGTCCTAAACATAGCAGAAATAGGAGCTATCCAGAATTTCTCTGTATTACAAGTGATCCTCAAGAAGTTGATGTATATTTGCATCTAAAGATTTAAAAACATGTATCTTAAATTTTTGGAAAATCTCCTGTGCCATTAGCAGTGTTCACATGTCAAATGTTCCTTATTCCACCAAATAACTCATCAGGTCGAAGGAACCAACAGACAGCTTCCAAAGTCTTGTTGGCTTTTTCATGAATTAATGGAAATAAAGGCAACCAGCTGGTTAGGATGGACCATCCCACACATGCCTGCTTACTTAACATTACCTGGCCCCTTTTTACAGAAGGGGAAACTGGCCAAGGGAAGCTAAGTGCCTAAGTAATTGGTCAGAATTGGCAGAGGTCCATGTGTCTGTAGACTTTTTTGGCTTTTGCCACCACAGCACACTGACCAGCACACTTAGGAAGCCACTTTGTCCTCCTGCCCAGCCATCTCTGTACGAGACTGGAAAGGAACAAAGCTTACCAGGAGCAGTGTAAAAGACGTTAGACCCCTTGCTCGTAAGTGTTTACCCCACACTCCGAGACACACACACAACAGCAGGATCTGAGAGGGCATCAATCCAATGTAAACCTTCAGGGCTACTACAATAGCTTTGGAAATAGGCCAGTGATTATATGAGCAGTGCATTCGGCCTCTTGATCTGTCCTAGAAAACTTCTTATGAAACAATGAGACAGAGGTCAGTGTTCTGGACCTTTCCTTATGCCTCCCTAGAAGTTTTTATTTTTATTTTTTGTATTTGACCTTTCCAGCCAAAAGACTTTAACCATACGGATCATTTCTCAGTAGCCATGTTCACCATCGAACGGATCTTCCCCCCCGACTCAGGAGTTTGGGTCTGCAGTGTGAACACAGTGGCTGGGATGGTGGAAAAGCCTTTCAACATTTCTGTTAAAGGTACGCTTCGTTTTCCAAAGGAAGAGCTCGTATCCTTGACATACCATGTCTGTATCCTGCTAAGGAAAGTTATCATATCTGGACAGAAATGCTTTCTGCCCACCAAAGTTTTTTATAGGATGCTAGGCCTTTAAAAAAAAATTATATGGATGAAAATATAATGAAGAGATTAAGAGAATGATCTTTGGAGTCACTCAGCCCTGAGTCTGATTTTGTCCCTAGCAGTTTATAATCTTATACATGGCCTCGAGCAAATAAAGTTAATCTCAATCTGTCCTTATTTGTAAATGGAGCTTGTTTTAGGGACTTCTTAAGGTTATTGTGAAGATAGATTAAATATATAGACTGCTTGAAATTATATCTGGCATAACACATCTGGTAGTTATTATATTTCAAACATCATCATTGTTGTGACTTCTTATTCATTATTATAGAGAATAATTTGAGGAATCTCTATTTTGAGGATTAATTCTTTATTATGAAGCTCAGACTATGCCATATAGTTAACCTGGCTGATTGTTGACATATTCAGAGGTTTGGGTATTCTTCCTGCTATGAGTTAATATTTCAAAATTCAAATTTATTAATCTGAGTGATGTGTACATTTGTAGTATGAGAGGAAGGAATAAAGTGGAGGTCAATCCAAGTCAACTTGGCTGGCGTATGTAGCCACAACAAGACATTTTAAATCTGGAAGTTACTTTTAAAACCCTATTTAGACAGATGCACCTAACAGCTCTCTGGTATGTATCCTAGGAAGGGTACTAGGCTAAGATAATTTATAAGTGTGAATTTATTCACGGTGTGAATGTTGTGTAAATAGTTATTATACTATATTGTTCAGAGAACAATGACCAGAACAGAAAGTTTGCACACGTTTAGTACAGACACAATTTTTTCCTGAATATTTTTCATTTGTAGTTAGCGACTTCATGGATGCAGAACCCATGGTTACGAAGGTAGCACAGTTGGAAAGCACAGATAGCAGTTTTGAACATAGGTCTGATGATTCCAGACACAGCACAATCTCATCTAGACCATTTTGCTGAGACTCTCGTGTTACAGACGAGGGAGGAAGATGACTAACATTGATTTGTATTAGTTCCACTTCATTACTTAGGAATCTCTAGGGAGATCCTAGAGGTAACGTCTACAAATAAGACGACATAGATGCTCATTATTTCTTCTAAAGGCCAATAGCAGCAGTAGCATGAATGCAACCTTATAGATCTGGATTCTCTGCCCCTAGAGTCCATGAATCTATGTAAACCACCTCAGAATCATCATCATCATTATTGATGATAGAAAGAAGCTCAAATCTGTTTTATTCAGTACAGCATTTATATGACTGAAAGCATTTCTTAATCCTTGTATGTTCCTAGAATAAAGGGAATGATATGCAGATAAGACAAATCATATTTAAGCTTCTTGCAATGTTTGCTACCTATGAAAAATAAGTTAAAAACAAATCATGTTGCTAACACACAGAAGACTCACTGATTCTGATTTTTATTTTGTAATGAAAGATTCAGCATATAACATCAGTGCACAGAAGCATCTCCAGTCCTAAGTCATTGATGCCTCTTTAGTCACACATTGGCTGATAACCATAAAATGGAAATAGCCAGTAGGAATATTAGTGTCTTTTATTTAAAAAAAAAAATAGATAGTAGGCTTCACTACCAGTGTGCAGATTGGTACAATCACTTTGGAAAACTGGCAATGTGTCTTAAAGTTACATGTACTAAAGAAAAAAAAAATTACATATACAACCCTACAACCTTAAACAGTACAACTTTCAGGTATATGTTCAATAGAATGAGTACACATGTTCAAAAAAGATGTCTTTGACAATGTTCAGAGAGATTTTATACATAATTACCCCAAACTGAAGTTAATATTAGAAGGGATAAATAAATTGGGGTATAATCTATATGTATCAGTTTGCTGGGACTGCTATAATAAAGTACCACAGGATGAGCGGCTTAAACAGTAGAAATTTATTTTTTCACAGTTGCAGAGGCTAGAAGTCCAAGGTCAAGGTATCAACAGAGTTGCATCTTTCCTCCTTTCCTCCCTCCCTCCCTCCCTTCCTTCTCTCTCTCCAGAGCAGCTGAGACTACAGGTGTGCACCACTATGCCTGGCAATTATTTAATTTTCCTGTAGAGTCTCCCAATGTTATCTATGCTGGTCTCAAACCTCTGGCCTCCAGCCATCCTCCCATCTCTGCCTCTCAAAGTGCTAGGATTGCAGGCACGGGTCACCATGCTCAGTCCCGGAGCTCTCTCCTGGGCTGTAGATGGCTGTCTTCTCTCTGAAGTCTTCACAGGCACTTCCTTTTTTACCTGAATGTCCTGATTTCATATTTTTATAAGGACACCATCATTCTTATTGGATTATAACTCACCTTAATGAACTCATTCTAACTTAATTACCTCTTTAAAGGCCCTATCTCCATGTACAGTTATATCCTGAACTTCTGGGGATAAAGACTTTAACATATGAAATTGGGAAGGATCACAATTCAGCCCATAAAGTCAGGCAGAGGAATATTAAACAGCATTATTAAAGAATTCCTGCAATAACCTGGTTGAATCTTGCAGAGATGATAGTGAATGAAAGAAAGTATATGCTTTATAATTCCATTTGTATAAAGTCAGTAGTTACCTCTGGGTAAAGGATATTGACTGGGAATAAGCACAAAGGTACCTTCTGGGGGGCTGGAAATGTTCTCTGTATCAATCCGGGTGTTGGTTACATGGGTGTATACACAGCCAAAGTCCCTTAAGCTAAATACACTTAAGATGTTTGCACTTTATGTATGTTAAATCTCAGTAACAATTATTAAAAGGAAAAAATAATATAAAATGATGAGTTACTAAGAGAAAGCTTTAGGAGTGATTTTTTTCACCCTCATAAATGTATCACACACTAGCCTTAGTGGCTATAAGAAAATGTACATCTGCTGATTTAAACAAAGACATGGTCTTATTTGATCCAGACAAGGGAAGCATGATGTAGGGAATGAACTTACTCACAACAGTGCCCCCTTTTTGGACCTGAGTAAAATGGGTACCCAGTCTTATCTAACTAAACACTGGCACGGTTGCCCTCCAGTCAGGGAATATTACTTGCTTAGGCTTCTTACTGGATTCATTATCCTATCTTTGGACAACTTCCTAAATCTTCATTCAGTCAGTCAACAGAATTTATTTAAGGCCTATTATGTTTCAGCTCCTGTTCTAGGTACTGGGAATCGAGCAGTGATTAGAATAGGAGGGAAAAAACTTATCATGGAGCTTACATTCCCACGGGGAGGCAAGCAGTAAGCAAATAAGTAAATAAAATGTATAGTTTGCTAAAATGCTGAGAGCCATGGAGAAAACTAAAGCTGACATGAGGGTGACCATGCCAGAGCAGTGCTGGAAGGTGGTCATGCCTTCCTGAGAAGTTGATACTTCTTGAGCAAAGACTTGAAGGTCATTTCTAAGGAAGGAGAGTCAAAGCATTGAGACAGGGAGGAAAAGTAAAATTACCCAATAGTGTAACGTCCCCTGAAATCTAAAAGGCTCTGTCTATAACGCACACTCTTGGGGGAAGAAAGACAAAATCAGGGATGTACTTCTAGGTAGGGTGGGCTGATGGAGCTCTGGAGCTCACGTGAAATTCAGTTGACAAACATTTAGTATCTGGCAGGTGCAGGTGAACAAACCTACATGGACTTTGCCTTAAGGGAGTTTCAAGTGCAGTGCGGTATTTTATGAACATTTTAATATTATCATCCCCCCTGAGGAGCTCTTTCAGAAATTGTATTCCAAAGCTCTCTCCCATCACCATACATTTTAATATCATAGATGTACTATGTATCTGTTTATGTATTGTGGTTCTTTGCGGGGCTACAAACCATTTTAGTGGCTGAAATTTTTTTATCCTCCAAGAACCAGTTTTTACCTCCTTGGGGAATACATGGTATTTGAGACAAGGAGATTATTCTACATTATCTGAGGGGGTACACTGTAATCACATGAGTCGTTAAAAGCAGATAACCATCCCTGATAACAGCCAGAAAGGGTCATGGTGAAAGAAGGGTCAGAGAGAGATGATGCTGTTCACTTTGAAGGTGGAGGGAGGAGCCAAGACTTGCAGGTGGTCTCTGCAAGCCAGAAAGAGCAAGGAAACAGATTCTCCAGTAAGCCTTGGGAAAAGAACGCAACCTTGCTAATGCCTTAATTTTAGTATAGTGAGACTCATGTCTAACTTCCGACTTCCAGAACTGTGAAATAATAAATTTGTGTTGTTTTAAATAGCCAGGTGTTGTGGCTGTTGCCTTTAGTCCCAGCTACTTGGGAGGCTGAGGCAAGAGAATCGCTTAAGCCCATGAGTTGGAGGTTGCTGTGAGCTGTGACACCATGGTAGGTGGCATAGTGAGGGAGGCATAGTGAGACTCTGTCTCAAAAAAAAAAAGTTTTGTTTTAAACTGAGAAATGAATGTGAACATAAATATATGGTCTAGTGGGAAGACCACTATTAAATAATCACTTACATTTACAAAGAACAATAAACTCTAAAAATGACAATAAAGGAAAAGTGGAGGTTCCCTGAAAGCATATAGTTCACTCGTAATTGAGCTTCTGGGATAAACGCCTGGGAAGAAGTCACACTAGAGCTAAGGGTAACTGGGAGGATCACAGGAAGTAGAATGTTCCTTGTAGGAAAACAACATCCAGAAAGGACACAAGAAAAAAAGAAGCTTGGTGCTTTGATAGTTGGGTGACCTGATGGGTGGGTTGCAGGCGAGGGGAAGAGGAGGCTGAAGGGTAGGCAGGGGCCCAATCGTACAAGGCGTGGCAGGTCACAACATGAATTTGGGATTTCATCCTGCATGTAATGAGGATCCACTGAAGGTCTTGGTCAGGGGAGTGCTCATACTTTAAGAAAGCGCATCAACTGTGGATAATGGGTTGTAGGAGCAAGAGCCTGACAGAGAGCTCGGAAAGCAGGTGACATCTTTGGATTTGAGTAGAGGCTCTAAGAGGACCTTGTTGGAAAAGTAAAACTTGTCCTCTGTTCTACCTAAGAACAACTATCAAACCCCCAAGCCCAAAGACTAATCTGATTGCTGAAATTTTATTTAGTTCTTCCAAAGCCCCTGAATGCCCCAAATGTGATCAGCACTGGACACAACTTTGCTGTCATCAACATCAGCTCCGAGCCTTACTTTGGGGATGGACCAATCAAATCAAAGAAGCTTCTATACAAACCTGTTAAACATTATGAGGCTTGGCGACATATTCAAGGTAAGGTTTGCACGGGATGGCCCCAGCTGGGATGTGACACCAGGAATAAAAACCTTTCCCCAAATCCAGAAATCCCCTTCTCCCTAGGGTACCCCTTTCCCTTGAGGTGTGGAGGATTTCATTTTGGAGTCTGCAGGGGTGAGCGTAAGGGGGACCTGTGGGACTGGGTCTAACTTACTGGAAGTCGTGTACTATGGGCCCCAGAACCAGCCTGCATTATGAGTTACTGTACAGATTTCCTCTCCAGGCCTCTCTGGAACTCCAGGCCCATCCTTAGTTGTTGTGTCTTGCTTGGTTATGGTGGTTTGCACCATGACTGAGGTAACAGGAAAGTTCAGGGGCTGCTGGAAAGGAGAGGGATTTAATCTGCCTAAGAAGTGGTAGTTGCTGCCATATTTATCTTTTTCTCATTTTGTGTCTTGCCCTGTCTCGCAGGCTCCTAACACAGTCTTTTGGAAGAATTTGTGCCTGCAAAGTTTGGGCTGTGGCAGACCAGACTGGGAGGCAGGGGGTGGGGGACATGGGTAAAGAGAACTATGTGCCCCTACCCCAACTTCCTAAAAGAAAAAACTTAATAATTCAAGACAGTGTGACCAAATGTCAAAGGTGGTGAAAGCAGTTCCTTTTGAAATAAAAATTAGGATTCTATTTGTTGCATAATGATAAAACCACAATTTTAAAAAAGAAGGCAAAACTGAGTGTTATCCATTGACCATGCTGCCTTGACTGGGCTTCCTGCAGAGACCTGCCACTGTTTTGATTGTAGGTCGCATGTATTCTCCACCAATAGTTTTGCCTTACTGTGTCCCTGATTTTGTGAAAAGGGCTTCCGATCCACTGTGTGTGGATCATCTGAGAAACTTGCAAAAAAAAAAAAAAGAAGACAAGGAGGTTTAATAACAGCAGCTGACCCGAGTATCATAACCAGGTCATGGTTATTACTGCACTCTTCACATTCTACTGTAGACTCAGACAAAATTTAAGATGTCAGTGATGGAAGGCTGATGTGCTGGATTGCTTGGTGAGGTCTTTTGTTGTGGTGATGGTAGTTGTTGTATGGTGGGAACAGTCCATTGCTAATTCTGTCAGTGGGCATTCACAAAGCCATCTTCTAAGAATTGTTAAACACAGCCCATGTTTTTTTTAACCAACCGGGAATTTATCATATGGTAAGTCAAAAATGGACCTTCGCATTGTACATGGAGAAATAGAAGCCGGGTAAAGCACATAGCTAAGGAGAAAGAGGCACCCAGCATTTGTTTCTGGGACCTGTTTTCAAGGCCTTCAGAATCCTTCATTCTAATGGGGCAACCATTATAAATCAGTTATCCGGTCACTTTAGGCAAACCCTCAAAGAGTCTTTTTCTCTTGATAGCTTGATTATAATCGGTGTATCCACTTGAAAACAGTAGAAATTGTTTCATTCTAATTGAGTTTCCCCCCTAACTCCGGTTTTCCATACAGTAGGAGATTTGTGAGGTTTTATTACACAAATGAAAAGATAAAAACACTAGCGTAGTAATGTGTAAGTGGCACAGAGAAACGCGTATAAACGTGTGCGTTGTCACCTGGAAACATCCTTTCAAAAGCCAAATTTTTCTGGTGTTAGGAATGATGAGGCCTTGCAGATGGAATTGCCTCTCAGTTTCACTAAGACGGTGGTTCATAGAAACCTAACATTGGTTGCCGTTACCATAACAATAACTCCAGCTTAAAGAATGTCAGAGGATGTAACTTAAACTTCCTGGGCTTTCCTCTTCTCAGTGACAGATGAGATTGTTACTCTCAACTCTTTGGAACCTCGGACAGAATACGAGCTGTGTGTGCAGCTGGTCCGGCGTGGAGAGGGTGGGGAAGGACATCCTGGCCCTGTGAGACGCTTCACAACAGCTTCTATCGGTCAGTGGAAGCCAGCGGGCACTTATTCAGGAGCGGGGCGGGAGGGGAGGAAGGGGAAGGAGGAAGGAAGACCAGGAAGGGTGGTGGTGGGTGAGTGGGTGGGTGGGGATGGAGGTGGCAGGCGTTTGCTTTTGAATGGGTGGGAAAGTGACAGGAAGGCCAGCAATTTGGAGCCAAACTGTTCCTTTATTTGGGCTGGACTCCTGGTCTGTCTCCCTGGGGGAGGGGGTCTGCAGCCATCCGTGGGGAAGATGAAGGAAGCAGATGAGCCTCCAGGAAGGCAGGGACATCCCTTAGGAGCTGGGATTTACTTAGCAGCAACTGTGCTGAGCCCGGGCGCCTGTGTTTTACCACCAGCTTCCTGTTTCCATCTGCAGGGCCCAGGCCAGGCTCTTGTCACAGACATATTTTGGAATCCCAGTTTATTTATTTTTAAAAATAACTTCTGACTTTTCAAAATAATTCATGCACACAACAAAAACATCAAATAGCATGAAAGGCTTTTACTTAAAGACCAGCATCCCTCACTACACCCCTCCACCCCCCAGTCCCTCTTTCTATAGATAGCCATGGTCATCTCCTTAAGCTGTTTCTGACAAGAGTCCCCTCCAGGACTTTAAATCAATAGTTCCCACACAGATTGTCTGTCAGGATCAACAGGGTTGGGATGGGGTTCAGTAATTTGCCTTTCTGGTATCTCCTCAAGTGATGCCTCATGTTGCTGGCCCTGGGTCCACGTGTTTAAGCAGATGTGTGTAGAAATAGTTCTTGATTTACAGTGTCAGGTGGTGTGTGTGGTGTGACGTCCCCGTGATGGTCACCAGGACTCCCTTCCCTGAAACACTGGACTGATCCTTTGTGATGTTCTCTGTTCACCGTGTTACCATCTCAGAGTTGGTGCTTTATAGTTTTAAGTTCACATTACCATGGAGAGTAAGAATTACCATCTTCCTCATTTAGTAGAGTCTGAATGTGGTTAATAACTTGCCCATGGTTGATGCTCTGGCTCCATTTCTTAGTATTATTATGATTATGAATCTAGGATCCCAAAGGCATCATTTCCTTAGCCCAATTCATACATTTTCCCATTTTTAAATCCCCGTTAGTAAAGGCAGAGGGAGATGAAATGATTCAGTGAGAAGACTAGGGAGAACACCTCGATCTGCCTCTTCAGGGATTATCTACCCTAACAGAGATGCTTTTCCTTCAAACACCCATTTAGTTTTCATCTGGCCAGCAGCATCCTTAAAGAATGCAAACCTACTCTGGGAAGCACTGCACAAGTAAGAAATTGCTTCCTGGGGACCCATCCAGTTGTGAATACAAAAAATTATAATAATAATAAAGTCAGAAACTATATAAATTGGAGGCTAAAAGAGCCTCCCAACTATGATCAAAGGGACCCCTGATAGGGCATCAGGTTGTTGCTAAAAGGCGAATAGTGGTTAATTCTCTCTCAGGTCAGCGTTGCTGAGTCAAAGGGGAAGGTCATAATCTGACTCAGATGGAAAGTATTTATGGGACAGAACATAAAACACTCCATAGACTCACACTGTGCTGTCTTTAGCCCTCAGAATGTGTTCCAGCCTGGATGTATTCGGAGGTCTCTTGGCCTATTTCAAAGTAGTTCTCAGGAATGGACGGGAAGAGAATTCTTGAAGGTTCTTCTTTTCCCATCATTTGAATTTTGCTGATGCTTGTTTCTTAATTCATTTGGCAGTTGTACTGCCCATGTGTGTTAATTGAGGTGGTGAAGGCCAGGGGGAGGAGAGAGCAGAGCTTGCATTCTGACCACATGCAGAAAGAGGGCGCACAGGGAGAGGTGGAGGGAAGGAGAGAGGGAAATGACCATTGATTGGGTTGTTCCCGTACAGGAGCTGGAGTAGGGGGTCTCCATGCGTCCTCTGAAACATCAATTCTTCCTTTGGCTTTCTCACTGTAAACCTGCACAACCACACTGGGCAGCGTACTTCGGAACTTAGACTTAAGAATTTAGCAGGAGGCATTGGCATCACCACTCCCAATTCATAAAGGTTATAGTTGACATCACCACTCCCAATTTGTAAAGGTTATAAGGAAAGGGCAATGAGACCTTTAGCACAGGGCCAAGCAAATTCATGCCTAATGGCTGCTGCTTACTCGACTGAGAGCTGTCCGGCCGGACAGGTGAGGCTGACTCCCCTGAAGATGGGAACAGACCCTTCCTCTCATGGCTCACCAGGGTTAAAACAGCATTTCTTAACCTTTTCAAAAAATTTACTTTCTTAAGAAGCTTTTCTAGGTATCTTTGTCCTAGTAGATCCTCCCTTTTCCTTCAGGCAATTTTAATACTGCAGATAAACTCTATGTTGGTTTGTATATTATAGTCCTTTATAAATCATTGTAATAATCTAAAATTTTCTCAGACCTCAAGAACCATCCACCTCTAGGGGTGATACTATCTGCACTGGGAATGCATAAATTAGAGGATTCCTATCCTATGTTTTGGAGGGGCTTTATATCTGGAATAAAAAATATCACTTTCCTGTTACTAACTGAAAACTCACAAACGTCTCCTTTGTCCATGCCATAAGACATCTTGAAAGAAGGAAGGCCGGGAGGGAAGAAACTCATGTTAATAGAGCCCCTTCCACCTTTCAGGCCTTTTCACACCCAAGTTCTCATTTATTCCTCCTGATTCTAGAAGATGGTTATTTGAATTCATTTTACAGGTGAACTTGGAGAGGATATGGATCTGCCCAAAGGGGCACGTTCCTGTCTCTCTGGCTTTAAAATCTATATTGTTACTGTTCCACTAGCCCTGGGGGGTGACTATGGCCCCCTTAATGTGACCAGAGCAGTGCTATGCCTGCCCCCACCACCACAGCTGTATGATGGCTGCAATTCTTGCTAAGGGAAAGTAACCCTGAAATTGCTTTAAAACATATTGTTCAGAATGGTAACAGAAACACTAAATTCTCACACCCACAATTCCACAACCTCAGCAAATCCACTGTTTTCATTATTATCTGTTTCCTTCCTACGCTTCACCATTGTAGACACGACTTTTACCAAGTTGCAGTCAGAGCTCTTTCTATAAATATTTATATTGGGCTTCCATACTTTCCCTAATTATCTATTTTAAGCCATTGGATGGCTTTGTTGGAATTTATTAAAGCATCTTCCTAATTTGAGTGCTTAGGTTTCTTCCAGTTGTTTGGTATTATAAACAGTGTGATAGTGAACATCTTCTGTTTTTTTTTTTTT